TCCATGCTGATGTGGTTCTAAGATGCGATTTTTTTTTGGACCGCCGAAAGCTCTTAGTTAGACAGTTGCGATTGTTCGAGTCAAGCATCACACTCAAGATATCACGGTGTACAGTTACAATTGATGAGCTAAACTATTTAACTATGTTTCGTAGCTCAAGGTGTTTTTACCTATGCTTTATACAAGTTAGACAGTCAATAATGAAGTGCTGAGATTACTCTATCTCCTCATATACGAAGAATTTGAATTCGTCACGAGAGTTGTAACACACAGAGGGAAACATCGGAGACCCTATAAAGCATATAAATGCTTAGTGTGACCAGCTAAACCGAAAGAAAGATCTATCAAAGCGTTTTTTAATTGGATGCAAACCGTTATCCGGCTACATTTGCAGATTTAGTTATACATATAGTTGTTATAAGAAATGCACCTGTGAAGGGTATCCAAGTTGCGATGCAACCGAAGTTAACTTTAATTAACTTGCCAGCAGACAATACAATCTGCCATTAAATTAATAAAAAAAAAAAAGCCACAGACAAACATAACATATATGCAGCGCTCTGTGGTATGGTTCAATATTTTCGTATTTGAACGCCACTTCCCCCTATTTTTTCGCTTATCAGACACTTCACGACTTTATTTACGCCAGGCTGCATGACTTTATTTGATTTTATGGCACATCAAAGAGGGCAGACATCTTTCCAGTATGCCTATCCAGCAGCGCAATACCACAAACACCACACAACTTAGTAGGTGCGCGCCGATCTAAGTGCCATTACACACATACTAGTGCATATCTATTGCTTACAATGCACACATGTGTTCGTATGTGTGTGTAGAGTGCACCGCTGGGGGCCATATTTTGTCGCCCCCTGCAAAGATCAAATTAAATGTTGTCGAGTTACATAGAAAAAAGTGCTGCTTAATGCTTAAATGTAATCTTCCGCCTTTCATTAGTATGAATTTTCAACATGCAACCGATTGCTGCATGCCACTTGTAGGCTATATACTTTATATAGCTAAGTGCAAGTACGCACGAGCTGTTTTGTTTATACGCATACATATTTATGTTTGCCTGCCACATAGTGTAAAATACCGCCGCATATTATTCTGTCTACCATATGTGCCTACACACCTCACCACCCCCGTTGAAATGATTATCACTTTCTTCTACTTTCAAGTGTCTTTAATCCATTTTTCGTAGAAATTGACAACTTACTGTCAAGTCGGCGAAGTTGGAAAATTTCTAAATACTAGTTGTATGCTACTTGCAACATGTGATATATGTATGCATGTTTATATGTACTTATGTATGCTTTTATGTATACACCTACACACACACTTCAAATAGTTACAGCGACAGCGCAGCTTTGCAGTCAACAGTGGCAATATAGACAATTTACTCGACTTTTTCACAAACACACACATGCATATAAATATGTATACACCTATATATATATATATGTATATGTATAAACATTTGTTTGTGTAATATTTGTTTATAAATTCATTAAAAAAGCCTTTTAGTGTGAATTATGAGAATTTTCTTCAACAAACAGCTTTTTCAGTTTTCCTTCCATACAAAAGCACACACACACACATGTAGACATGTGTATGTAAATAAAGACATTTTTCACTTTATGTCGAATCACTAAAAACAAATATAGACAATAACAACAACTACAAACACACTTATTGCTTAATATATTCAACTAATCCATATAAGTAGCTATTTGATGTTTGCTCACTGTGGCAAGTCTCGCATGCGCTGCTTGCTACACGCCGCTTTGCTTTTCAAATCATAAAAGCTTATAATTGGCTGTGCGATAACTTATTGTTGTCTTAACACATTTTCTTGCTATTTATGTGGAATTTCTTAATGCGACGGCTTGACAAAAATCTTTTAGTGGGAAATATTTTAGAAAATTTGTTTACTATGTTTTTTTTTTTTTTGTATTTACTTTATTTGCTACCGCTTAGTGTCTATTCTAGTTTGTTTTCATATTTGCTTGATGAAATATCAATTAATAGCATATGTTGCATGCAAATGGACTGCAAACATTGTTTTCGTGAGGCATTACTAATTGGCTATTTATTTATTTATATATTTATGAACAGTTAAAGAGACAGCATGTTCGTGACTCAATTTAGCTGCTAAGTCCATTAGGAACACTAAATAAGTACTCTTTGAACTTATGGAATAGAGTTGCATATAATTTATATAAACTAAATAAATAATGCCATTTGGAATGGAGATCCTATAATGTATTATATGTACGCAAATGATCAGCGTGACGAGCTGAGTCGATTTAGCCATGTGTCACCAAGAAGCTGTTCAGCTGTCTGTAGTGATGTTGGATCTCTATATCATATAGCTGTCATACAAACTGAAATGTTAAGGGTATTACAAGTATAGCTTCGCTGGAGCCGAAGTTAATTTTTTTTTTTGTTAACTGTTTTTTTTTTTTGCGCTTTAAAACACAATTTATGACTTTTGATAGCTAGACTCCTCACCTTAAACTTTAACTGATAGAACAATAGCGTAAAAAATGTCCGAAACATCTGAAATGTATTCTAGAAAAAAATCCGAATTTTTAATGAAATCAACTAGCGTAAAACCGAATTAAATGAGCTGAAAACCACAGAAAAAATACAAATATAAATGAAATTTACAAAAAAGTTAATTGCGGCTTTTCCTTAGCGTGTGATCAACCCCTTTTGCGGCGACTCTTCTGCGTCCTGTATTGGAATTTCAAAGGAGGAGGTAAAAACTTCAACACATTTGCGTTTCACACGCTTGCGAGCCGCTGAAATTTCGGCATCGAGAATATGTTTCAAGCAAACGGAACAACTTGTTAACAACAATAAGAACAACAGTTACCCCAAAGGGGTGTCGCGTTAACCCTTTGCAACCGATGAGTTTTGTAGTGAGGGGCAAACAACAACGGCAAAGGAAATTTATGCAAATTTTAATAAATCTTGGAAGTAATGAAGAGTATGACGCCGAAGAGTATGTGCAAGGCGAATGAGTGACTGCCTCGACCGCTAGCTGGATGCCTTGCCACAGATGCTGCGCCGCCGAGTTGTTGTACTAGTTAGCTGAGAAAAAGTAGACACATTAAATTAAATTGCTTAGCATTTTGTAATGCGGCACATTAGTGTCAACCCTGACATGGAATAGGCGGACGGACGTATATTCATATGGAAGTGAGTACATTAACACGTTGTCGCTCGACAGAAAGCACCGTAATTACTAGAATGATACAACTACAGTAAAAAAGCGGTTTTGTAAGAGCGATGTACCGTAAATCGTAATGGACCAGGCTACTAATGATGACCGCTTGAATGCTGCGGTTGTGCTCAATAATCGAAACGGATATGTAAATCGCCAGCGGATAGCCGTCAATTGTAAAGGATTACTGGATAGTGTTACTAGACATGTGTAACTGGTTGGTGTAATAACAAAATGAGGAGGGTCAACAGCCGCTTTAAGCAAATAAGCGTATAAAGTGTTATTAATGGAACACCATTTAGTTAAGAAACAGTTATTGAGCAACTTAATGCGTGGCATAAGCAACCCTAATGGGACAGATATCGGCGATTTATGCGTCACATATGGACAGCAGTTCCAGGAAGAAGGACACCGAGTGATCATTAGAAAAGCAGAAAAAATACTAACAAAGAATAAATTGAAATATTACGCTACCACTTGAGCAGCTTCTGTATGCCTTTCGTATGCAAATGTGGCAAGCAAGGAGTGTGCAAGCCAAAAATAAGATAGGAAAAAATAAAGAATAAGGACAGCTTTTTACAACCGCTTTAATTGTGCTTAAAAGGCTCGCATCTAATATAGTGCGCACGTATAAAATATAAATAGGAGCGGAGCGCAACAAAGGAAGTGTGGAAAATGTTTTGATTGATGCGTTCACAGTAAGACGGTTGCCCTAGTTCAGCCCTGCGGCAGCATCCTGTTCTCACTTTAATTGCAACGCGTATAATTTGAATATTTATGACCAACGGTCATATTGCGCGGAAATTATTACTTTTTATTATTATCTCGCCAGCAGTTTATTATATGCAAGTATTTTTTTAGGTTTTGAAAAATTTGTGTTAACAACTGTGCATATTTTTGTGCATTTAAACTGGTTTTTCGTTATTATTTCTTACAGCAAGCGAGTGCCGTTTAATGAGCTGTAAAAGCCGCGTACTTATGGGTTGTGATGTAGAAAAGTAAAGCGATTCCTTAGCGCTGATTTGTTGGTTTTCTAGTTTAGCAAAACAAAACTGAGAATAATATATACAATATAATTTAAATAAAAAGGCTGGATGGCTGACTGTATCAGGCACTAAAGAGCTTAAAAAAGAAATTTTCCAGATATGAAATTTTATTATTTGGTCGAAAAGAAAATATTACACTTTCACTACTACATAAAAAGTATAAAGTTGAACGTGGTCGGTTGGTTTCACAAGCATATCCCAACTACAACCATGAAAGCATTCTACAAGAATGACTGGTGAATCTTATGAGAATAATTTTCATATCAAAAATTAATAGAACGGTTTACAGGCACCTTCCAGGCTTCAAAACAATTAATATTTTGTTTCGTTTGAGGCTTTTTTGTAGTTATCATTTGAACCGATGTGCCAACGAATAGCCATCACACCTATAATCAACACTGCTGCGGTTGTCTTTGCTTCTATTTTAGCACATAGGTTCGCAGATTTAGCATCAATACAACAAAGACGCTGGAAAGCAGAACATATCTGCTTAGGCGCCGTATCTTATCAGTAAGTTATGTGTCTATTTAGTTTCTAAAGCATGAAGAAGTTTGAACAAAATTTAGAAAATAATGCTAACCTTGACTTTTGTGACAAAATAAAGACCTACGGTGGAAAGGCCGTGCAATTTGTTGATAAGCATGTAGCTATAAAAGCTCACTTCAATGCAACGGCGAGCGACAGTTGCGCTTCAAAGTTAATAAAGCGGTGGGTATCAAAAAATGCGGCTGCTATTTTTTTTACTCTGCAGCACCGTAGCTTTTAACTGCTGCAAAGCTGTTAATAGCAAGGAAACCGACAAAGAACATTTCTTATTGGAAGCGCAGAAATTTTTACTCGAAATCGTGTGGCATGTACAGGAGCCAGTGGCGCTGGCCGAGTGCCAGGACGTTGCATTTGTCAATGATGAGACGCAATATAAGGTGAGTTTCTTTCATTGAAAACATTGAAACAACAAAAATCAAATTTTTTGACAGAAATTCGACAGTGACATGCAACGCTTCGTAAAGGATGTGCAACAACAACGCTTACTATCACGAAATTACTTCTTTAGCGCGATTGTGCACACACATCACCAGCAAGCTTTGGGCTTATACAAATTACTGGCATATACCAAAGACTGGACCTTATTTAAGCGGAATGTGTGCTGGGCACGCACACACGTCAATCCTGGCATGTTCGTTCACGCACTCGACTTAACGATTAGACATCGTAAAGACTGTGAAATCTTTGCGTTGCCACCGATCTATGAAATATTTCCACAACACTTCTTCAACAGTGAAGTGATACAGAGAGCAATGACGGTCAGCAAAACGAAATTGGAAATGGCACAAAAGCAAATGAATACGGTTAACGGTACTATAGGCGAAAGAAGCTTACACGATTGGCAACCCTGGCAGTGGTGGAAGCTAATGGGCTTAAGCGATCAGCGCTGGTATCTCGATACACAAAGCAGCGGCGCAAAGCGCGACGGTCTAACGAAATTTTGGACGCCTGTAGATTATACGCGCGATGTGCACATTTTGAATGCCGAAACACATTTATCATACTTACTAGAAGATGTAGACTGGAATACAATTTGGTATGAACTCAATCTCGACTATCCGCCATTTCTCGAGAAGGAGGAAATCGCTGTGCGTCATCACAAACGCAGCGCTGAATGGTGGATTCACCAAATGCGTACGTTAATGACACGCTATAGCTTAGAACGCCTATCACAGGGCATGAAACCCATCGCAGATATGACATTGTCGCAAACCATTGCGACGGGTTATAATCCACAACTTGTCAGCTGGAATGGTCAGACTTTCTGGCAACGCTATAATAACTACGAATTTGCAGATTATGGGTTTCCGGCAACAATCGATTTGATTTTTAAGGTCACAAAAGAAATATATAAAATAGCCGACAGTGGCGCATATCGACTGGAGAATGGCACATTGCATGATTTGCATCAGCTTGAGGCGCAACAGGAGTTCTTTAATATTCTACATGGCAATGTGAATGCTTTGAAGCCGTACAACCAACAAATTTATTGGTTTTACTCATTCATGTATCTCGCGCAAATTGAATATGCGCAATTCCACAAAGTGGGTCCACATGTTTTGGCGAACTTCGAGACGGCGTTACGTGATCCGCTCTTTTACTCGCTAATGCAACACAAAGTTTTGGATATGTGGAACCGTTATATGCGTAATTTGCCGGCATACACGCGACAGGACTTGCTAGCTGTTGGTATTGAGCTGAAGTCGGTTACAGTTTCACCGCTAAAGACTTATTTCGATTACGCCGACATTGATTTGACTAGCTTGTTGTTGGACAAAGTCAGTCCATTTGATAACCGTAAAGGCATTTATGCGCGTCAGCAGCGGCTCCAACACAAGCCTTTCAATTATACGTTGCATATACAAGCGGATGGTCCAGCTACAGTCACAATACAAACCTTTTCAGCGCCAAAATACGACGAACACGGCGCGCTGCTGTCGCTGTCGAAAAACCGCGAAAATTTCCTTGAAATCGACCATTTCGTTAAGCAATTAAAAGCTGGTCTAAATATTGTCGAGCAGCGTTCGTATAATTATGATGCGTCTACTAAACGCTGGACCTACAGCGAAATGTGTGCTATTGTCGACGCAGCTATGTCAGAGAGTTTGGCGTTTCCAAGGAATTTAAAACGACGCTCAGAAAATTTCTATCGCCGTTTAAATATACCAAAAGGTAACAAGCAAGGCTTTCCTGTGCAGCTGGTTTTCGTCGTTACACCGTTTGCTGAAGACATTGCTTATGGTTTTCCATTTGATCGTTCAATCGAGCACGAATACGCTTTTCTAGTGCCTAATGTGTATTTCAAGGATGCTAAGGTCTATCATGTGGATCATAATGAAAGTGTCGAAGAATATATTAGGGGCTATGCGAGGTTTGGTCAGTTTGATGAAAACTACTGGAAGATTAATTGAAGTAATTAACTCTTAATTTTACTATAATAAAATATAATTTATAAGAACTTTATAAAGAATTGTTTGATTAAAATAATTTATTCCGCTCATTACTAAGAGTAGCGTTCTTTCTGTTAGCAGTTAATTCTCAGCAGATAATAACACAGTACTGACTATCAAGTACGTCTCTCTACCTTAACCACTCAAACATATAGCAGATCTGCAAGTTCTTCCAAGATAAGCGCCATAGATGCAATAAGCCATGTTTTTCTATGGTCTGTTGTGTATCAGTTCCTTGCTCTCTCCTCAGTTGGAGGATTATTTCCTTATATCTGATCAAGGTTGTGGCTTTCAAAAGTAGTACTTTCTAAGGGCTCTAACAGGATGTAGGGTTTCCCAAGAGCTCCAGAAAAAATTAAGCGGTATAGTCCTACAGGTGTACCCCAAGCGACGATTTGAAATATTTTATGTGAAACTCTTTTGCTAGTTTTGTTTTGGAGATTTTATATCATTTTATTATAGGGTCTAATTAAGAAGCTCGCTCGTAATACTTCCACAAAGTACACTCATATAGAAAGGATAGCGTTAGCGATAACGGAAAGCGAATTCAAAACTTTTACCTTTGAAGACTCCAAACGCTTCGTGCGATGTGTATATGCAGAAAGGAATAAAACTATAATTAATTGCTTATCTATATAATGCAATCTTCAAAGAGTTTTGTTCCCTTAAATACTGCAAGGAAAATAGATATAAAGAAAGTTAAATAAGCGGGGAGGAAATGCGTTCACATCATTAATCTATATTGAAGAAGTTAAAAAACAAGGAACACAGCGCATGAAAAAGAGTGAATAGCTGTAAAAAGTGACGCAACAACCGACATTACTAAGTCTACGAAATACTCATTCCAACAAAGCAGAACAGGGGTCAACTGCATTGAATACTCGATACGCTTCCAGCATTTAATTGCCTGCAAATCCAATGTAATTGGACTCACGAAAACACACAGTTATGCACGAAATATTTGTGGTGAGGCCGAGAGTCAAAAAGCAGTGACAGCGTGGCTTGTGGTCAGGCAATGTAATCAAATAAATTAATAATGTCGAAGCTACTTTGCTCGCGCAGAAAAAGGGAGGCGAACAGCCCAGAAATATATTGGAAAGAAAATATTAATGAATTTTGACATTTTTATAATATGAATCGAGCACATATTTGATTGTTGTTGTTTTCATGTTTTTTTTTTTAATGTTACTTAGTTGCATCATTAATAAAAATCATAATAAAGGGGCGTAACGAATGACGTCACGTTTCATGATTAGTTCATGTCATTCAAGCGCATATGGATTAATCAAAGTTGACAAGGATGTAGGATGAGTGGCGTAAGCTCGCTCATGAAAGCGAAATCATATTAAAGACAGAAAAGTGTATATCATCAAAGAAATTCGGCCAAGTGGTGTGACTAAATGTTAAATTAAAAGTATATACTTGTATGCTCTATATATTTACACAAAATAGAAAAGGATTAATATACCGCGGGTAAAAGTCAAAATGAAGTCAAGGCGGCTTGAGTAGCTTTTCGGCTACAAATGTGTGTCAAATTGACATGCAAGACGCATGTAGGTATGACAGACAAAGTGACGCGCTCTGTGATTATGCGTGCTTGTGTGCAGAGTGACGGCGCAGTTACGTAATGAGAACACAACAACTGACATCATATTAGTAACGTATTTAATTGTAAATACGAAGCTGGTTGATGACATGAAATCAATATTTTGTGAAAGCTTTCGGGTGAAAAATCCTCTCATAGGTTTTAATTATATGTACTCGTAATCATGAATTTGGAGGACAAATTTTTTGATTTCGTGACAACAAACTATGTATACATGGTAAAATATATATAAGAAACAAAAATATATTAATGTTCAGTGAAAGCTCCGGTGACAGGAAAAACTTTCACAACTGCAAGCATCAAATCATAATACTCAGGCTGATTTTACTAGAATGAGAAAGCTCATAAAGCTTTTGAAATCGCTTGATAATATCTTCAGTAGCCTTGCTAGACTTCAATTGACGAAGTACTGAAGAAGTTCTTAGATTTTAAGTCAATAAAAATATTTTTTATAGGAAAGCAAGCTTGTTTGAATATGATCAACAAAATAATAGTTTTTTAGAAATTTTAGTAAAACAAAATATATAGTACAAGAAGGCAACTTCGAGCTTCATGATCAAAATATGAAAGCTTTAGAACTTAACTGGAATTCGACAGTTTTCTGAAGGAATTTTGGTAAAACGAAATATATAACGTAAGAATAAATTATCTTCCTATTTATCAAAATGTGACAGCTCTAGAGCTTAACCGAATATATTCCCAGAATTTTTGGAAAATTTAAGTAATACGAAGTGTTTAGTACAAACATTTGAGTCGTGTTTGAAAAAGCAAAAACTACTCGCAAGTCCACTGGAAACTTCAAATATTTAAAAAACTTCACAGCTTTGTTTTGGATATGAAAGTATTATAAAAACTCGCCACATAGACAACAATATAAATAATTTATCTTAAAATAAATATTTGCAAAACATTATTTGAAATATCAACAGTTGTTTGTGAAAGCTCTAAAAAAACTTTCAAAGCTTCATTAAGTTTAACTGTAATTGTGCTTCTAATTTAGGTGTGTGTAGCATAGAAATTTATATGAAAGCTTCAGTGGAGAGCTTCAGTCAAACTGAAAGCTCTAATCCATAGTGTTAGTGAAATATTCTCTGAACTGTAGCAATGGCCGGTGAAGGCTTCAAAAGCTTTCAGAGTATGTTTAACATTTATATGAGGAGAGAGTATTTATTATATAACCAATTTCCATAAATTCTGCATATGTTTCCACCAAACCTTTCACCCAACAGTGCTGCCAACTGTAAAATCACTTTTAATTAATATGCAAATACCCGCAACCTCGAAATAACGAAAAAAATCGCTTTTAAATGGAAAAATTGAAAATTAATTATAAAATCTAATTAAAAGCATTAAACACAACTGACAGTTGCCAACGAATGTCAAGCAGCCAAAAACATCATTAATTAGCGGATTTATTGTACGTTAGCGCACCGAATCATACGGCCTGAGAAGAAGTTGCGAAATTCTCACGCAACAAAGAAAGTGAAAAACAAATGTTGAAACGAAATGAAAAGTAACAGTAACAACAGAAGTGGAAATGCAAATATTTATATTATCTCTTTTTTTGAAATGTAAGCAAGTAACAGCAAAAGTCAAGTTTGAACAAAAGGGTTAATGAGACGAAAGCACAACTGTAGCAAATAACCTTAAATCAAATAAAATTATATAAGATAGAAAAAACTCGAAACAAATGAAAACCAATGTAGCGCAAAAATGCGAAACCAATACAACTCGTGCATATGTGTGTATAGCAAGTAAAACTGATTAATGATACCGAGGCTGGGAGTGTAAGGAGAGATGCTGTGATGGTATGCAAAGTAGCGATGCTTTTGTGGAAGAATAAAAAATAAAGCGGAATAAAAAAGAAAAAGAGTTAAACTACACATCATTAATTAAAGCGAACAACATCAAAGTAAACAGCGGCGACAAAAAGGATACGCAAACAATATGTAAAACAGTAGCAAAGAATTTTGTAGGGAAAATAGACAGTAGCAACAAAAAAAGGTGACTAATATATAAAGACTTTAATGAGAATATGCAAATTTGGTGGCAACAAAAAATAAAAAGCAATATAAAAACTGACAAACAGCCAATACACCAGTGTGGCATGCAAAATGTAAACAAGCAACAACAACAATAAGCGCTTGCAACGAAAAATTGCCGTTAGAACTAACGTGATAGTGAGGTGTCAACAAGCGTTGCAGTAGAACAAAGAAAAAATTTACAAAAAATTACAACAACAAACGCATGCATATAAGCAAGATCACATAATTTCCAATTATAAATTCATTGAAATGACATTTAAGGTGAACGCAAGCGCGCGGTAAGGAGCGGCAGCTATGCGAGGGAATCCCTTAGCGGCTGCACATCATCAATCAGCGCATCGTTGATGATTGTCGTAGCAGCTAAAAAATCTTGCTGCAGCTAACTTGCCAGAATGCGCGTAGAAAATTAATGAGCTGCAAGTGGCGCAGAGTGGCACAGCTACCAATGCGCTCTCAAGGGAGGCAAATCAACTGCGTTGTCATTATCACTCACGGGCACACACATACATGCATATACAAACATTTACATGCACGCTAATAGCACTTTGCCACAATTTAGCAACGTGCAACATGCAACAAATGTTTGTGTTCACACATAACTGTATATGCGTCGGCCCATTTTTCTGCCTTCCGCTGCCTTAAATACTCTGCTTGCAGTGGCATAACAAATTACTACGCAATAATTCCAATGACGTGTCAGTATTGGTTGCGCATATGCAAATATTTGCTACTAGCGCGGCTCAGCGCCATAAAATATGCAAAGTAGTCACAAATTTATCACACCACAGCGTACAGGTAATTAACTTTTGCTGGTATTGGTATGCGAAATTATGTGTTGTTGCAGTAATGTGACCCTCTCAGTGAAAGTTTCTAAATATTCTTTCGATTTTTTTTTTCAAAGTTCTCACCGCAAGCATGCAATTTGTTTTGGTGCATTTGATTTGTTTCTTTATTTTCAATTCAATAATTTTTTTATATTTCAACTGTTCATCATTTATCTGCTGTATTTTGCCAGCTGAAAATCCTATCTATGATATGTATGATATGTAGATATGTATATAATAGGACTGAAAGTGGATGTTCGCTTCGACCTGTGATTCATTGTATGTTGTGAAGGGGGTATCTTGAGACTTTAATTAGTTGCCAGCAAATATCTGAGACGTCTTTTTAACTAAATTTTAACTAGAAAATTTACTCATGGAGACAGATATTTCACAAGTTCCAGCCAGCTGACGGTTGATGGTGATGGCTCGATGGTTTATATGTTGATGCTGCTTCTGTGAATTCAAATTTCCATGCATGTTTTATAGATGGATTTAAATACTCAAAATGTGCAAGAACTTAGTTTATAGAACTGATACAAAGATATACCTCGCCCTTGTACACTATTTAACACAGAGGAAAAATGGCGATGATTAGACAAACTCTAAAAAGACTGACTTTTTGTTTTCATTCCACCCCTCAAAACATGCCGATTGCTTATGACAGCCTCAATCCAAACAATTATCGGATTTCGGACACTTATTCGTCATACTATTGTGATTAGCTATGAATATAAATTTGCATATGACCGCCTCTTTGACGGTATTATGTCAGAGTCTAACGTATTTTGGCATACTAATTTGCTTAGCAAACAAAACTACATATGTGCCACAACGCGAACAATCAATCAAAAGAATATTTGAATATTTTTAATGCCATTAAAGCAAAAAAACCAATGATGTGCTATGCAATTTTATTAACGGTAAAAAGAGAATTAGCAAAGCAGCGATTGAGCATGTACAGCATTTATTCATGCAACTTCCACAAGTTTTGAAATACACTAAAATAGAAGTGTCACTGCGAAAAAAACGCTTTGAATAATTCAAAGCAATGCGGCAAAGGTGTGTTGCCACAAAAAATACACACTGAAAAAGTTGATTGTTGTTGCATGCCACAAGGCAACAAAGTCGTCGTACATGCTATCACTCATGCAAAACCAAAAAAAAAAAAAAAACCAATGCCAAAGTGAAAATTGCATCAAAAGCCGGCGTTAAGGCAACGCTTGTTGTGGAACGTCGTTGAAAGGGTAGTTTCTCCACATTTTTTGTGCAGGAATTTCTTTTATCATTTCCACTCTTTTTTGCCGACACTTTTTAGGCAATCGATTTGAATTTGAATTTCACTGACGCGATTTTGACTGTGACTTAAATGCTTAATTTAAATGCATAAGTTTGTGATTGGTTTTAGATGAGCTGAATTGCTTGTTTGGCTGGTCGCGTTCGGTTAGATTGGTTGCATGGGGCGTTAGTTGATTGCTTGTTGTTTTTGGTAACAGTTGTTGTTGACAGAGATTGATGATGTGGTGCGATGCAAATGAACACGTGTTTTTCGTGATTTTTTCAAAGTTATATAGAAAGAAATACTAAAAACAGAAAAAAATAAAAATTTTAAGAATTAATGTGAAAATCTGGATATTTTGAGGCTGGTTCTATATTGCTGGCACTCTCGTGTTTCTTGGTCAGATTTCTTGCTTTTTCTTCTTATTGCCTTTTATTTTTATAGAGCTCAAAATAGCGTTTAGTAGTTCCTAATTTGACTTTTGCAGGCCGGAGAGATGTAATTATTCTTTAACATACACTAGTCTAACAAAACATAATATGAGAGAAATACGTCGGAATGGATATTAAAGCTTATTCGGCTCGCTTCTCTAACCAATCTGGAAAAAACAAACCTTACAGTAACCGCTCTTTTAGCTGTATATTTCTATGATCGCTCCTTGACACTTTTATTCGACGAGCTAAAATTAAAAAATCTTCTGAAAAAAGTCATATGTAAATTGTTTCCTAAAATTGCTTCTCTCAAAATGTTGTTTTGAGGTATTGGCATCGTTAATTTAATTCAAAGAAAGTAAAGTGTTCTGCAGGCTCTCCCGAAATCTTCGTCCGTAGCGTGATACTTCTATTTGGTACTTATGACCCTTAGCGCTCTCACGTAGCTCGCATTTTGCATTGGAACATGATGTATACTTTTATGCTACTTGTAGATTGTTGTATTCATAGAACTATGTTTCCAATATCTTCAGTAAATATCGCAAAAGCTGAATACTGACCATTAGAGTCAATTTCTGCTTCTTTGAGGTCATCATCAGTTATAGAAGTACTCATTGCCCCTATTTCACTGACAGTGCATCTACCCAACTCATTAAGGATTATATATTATATATATTCTATATTTTTTTAAACTCTTCGCAGGTGTGACTTTCCCCACACAATATACTCATATGTTATCCCAATGCAACTGATTTGAAAACGTCAACTCACACATGACATGACAACGCTGCGAACAAAGCCATTGATGATGGTGATAAATAGGAAGGAACTAAAATGTATTGTACTTCCGCTTTTAGAAAATTTATTAGCTCTAACAAATCAAGTTAGCCATGCTCACTTAACAACAAAAATGTTGCCTACAAAAAGGATATATGTGGCATAGTGTAGAAAGCGAGAGGGTGAAATGAGTGTGAGTGATGTATGAAAGGAATTAGAAAAGGTATATTGTACGCATATGCCTGCATGTGTGTTAGTGTTAAATATTAAAACGGCAAAATGGCTCATAATTTAAAACATTATCGTAAATTCTTTTAATAGCTCAAGAGATCGCCATGACAAACGAAATTGATAAGATACTCTCAAATGAAATATACAAACAGCAAGTGTGGATTGAAATGCTTTTGAATGTGTGTGTATGTGTGCGCGGGTGTGGATATATGACGCTTATGAGAGCAAACGGTCAGTCACATGAAAGCGAGGAAAACTGCTTGAATAGCTCAAATTGTGGCAAGGATATGTGTGATATGTGTAGGTGATTTTATAAGTGTCTATATATACACATCTATGTACGTTAATAGCGAAATATACATATGTATCAGCTGTCCAACAAAAGAAACTAAGGGTTGTCCGCACGCATTTTCATCCAACTGTAGCTATTTGTTGGGGGAGTTCAAGTGTCCTTCAACATAATGCGCAAATACGGCGGAATTTTAAAGCATAGCAAATGTGAATGAAAAATCTTAACGCACATCAAACACGCATTAGCTAAAAGAGTCATTGAATTTATATGTCCGCTGGCGACAGGCTTTTCTACAGGGGCTCTTATTATAGCCGCAGAGGTGAGCGCATAGAAAAGGCCACTTGAGTGCGGTGACAATAGATCAGCATAAATGTACAAATCTAAGTATGAAATTTTTAAATGTTCAATGCTCTAAATGTGTAACTGATTGAAAAGGCCAGTGTGCTGGACAATAGCAAGCTCCTTTTTTTTTTTTTTTGAAAATGTGAATTCGAAACGTTATTTAAAGGATCATGGACATCAGCACTCTAAAGCGGATATCATTAGGCATTTATTTGATAGCAACAATGGCAAACGGTTGTGGGCACATTGTGTGACAAAAGATACCAATGATAACACAATATGCAACAACAAGAGCAACACAATAGTTTAAAGTAAGCAAAGCAGAAACGATAAAACGATTTAAAAAGCGGAAATCATAAACTTGTTTGCTTTCACAGTAGAGTTTTCGAATTGTTAGAAAAGAGGATATTTTTTGTAGTGGACAGTAAATGAAATGAATGGAGATGCAGGACATACAAATGTGTAGTAGCAGAGGTAAAGGATGTCATTATACAGCGTATTTTGTAAAACCAATTCTATATATTTTGGATATATCTTGTATAAGCAACATTTGCATAAGACCATATATATGAAATTCTGTTATATCAATTGTTTATAAGTTTCGTTTCTGTAAAGATATTTACTCCAAGGAAAAGAGGACATCCAGCAATATATTCATGTCATGGTATCAAGTGTAATTCTCCTTCAACTAACGGAATTGACAACCTTAGTAACTCTCCATACATTCTTACTATTGTATCAGCGTTAAGTGCTGGCATCTTAAAAAATGACTACTTCTCATGGACTACGGGATGGCACGCTATTTGGTATTATTAAGGACCAAAGCTAATTTAGGCGTACTAATATCAGACAAACCTAATCTAACATCCGAAAAATATAAATGAAGCCTATAATTAGGCGCAACAGATATGGTAACCATTTAAAATAGCATAATTTTTTCAAAAGGATTAGTTTAGATGGCAAATCAAATGCAATTGCAATTATAATATATAACAAAATTTTAAATTACTAACTTTAAAATAACCATATACATAAGGTGCTGTTGGAGATGCCAATAAACTAATGGATTTTCAAAACCATATTGCAAATTTAAGTTTAAAATACACACATATGCACGCTCAAAATACTATATGTATAAATATTATTCACTACCGCCTTGCAATTACTTACACCCAATTGAATAGAATTGTCGAAAGTGAAAAATGTCATTTTAAATTGTCGAAATTCGGCAATTTCAATGCTTTTGAAGTATCGGTCTTTTCTAAATTTACGTGTTACACGCGTAATAACACGTACGTACATAATGCGCGAATTTGTTACGCCTGCAGGCAGCACAGTTTTTGTGCTACATTTTTTCTCAGCACAAACCTTTTTTCGCACACTTTGTACCAGCACTCGGCGAGGCTATCGCATTTTCATCCAAAGGGTTAACGCGCGCTTCACGCTTTTACAGTTAATGTCTGTACGTGCCGCAAGTTTGAAGTGCTCTAATTTCCAGCAAATGTTCGCGGATTTTTGGTTGTAAATAGGTAACACGCGCGTGAAAATTACAAAAAAAAATCTGCCGCAAAAGTGATAATTTGTAATTTATTATTATGGCAAATCAATGAACTAAATATCTAGTGACGACCGGAGGAAGGTATATCAAAATTGTAGAAGGGTTAATTTTTGTCGTAAGCGTGATTGTTGCACTTAGTTCCGGTTGAAAGTATGGCAAAAGTCTGCTTAATGTGTCGAAATACAGTTATTATCAAGAAAAAACTCGGTGGTTGAGAGATTTAAAGCTGGTGAATCGAACAAGCTCGTGTATTGCTGACTGCTGTTGGAGCTGAAATATGTTTTTAAGTGAATGAATTGTAAGTTAAATTTTATAGTTTTACTATTTTATTAAAATTAGCTGCTAAGCTGTCAATTTTATTATCCACATTTTAATCGTAACACAAGTGCTCCAGTTTATATTCAGTTAAAGAAAAGTCACAGTGCTTACAAAAAGTTCGTTACTCTGGTTATAGATAGGCAGTGGCTAATCAGATAACTCCATAGAAGTGTAAGCATATATAATATAGAGCTATTGCATAAAAAACAATTTTCCACGAATAGTAAAGCAAACCTTTCGGTGTATAGTACTTTTTCAATTCACATAGTGAGGCAATCTGTTAAGAGCTTACAACTGTTTTCCTACTTAAATGACACTACACTGAAAAAAGAATGAACGTTAAGAAGAAAAATACTGATTACACATATTCATGAAGCCTTTGCATTGCTTTACCTATAGTCAGATGTATGTGATAAAAAGTAGGAAGAAGCATTTCAGCGTAAAACAAATCCGATCTGTAAAATAATATTAAGATCACTCTTGAAGTAATGTCATCATTCGACTGTACAAACATACCAGAAGCACAACTATATAAGCTTCTTCTTGAAGCATAATATTATATATAGAGCATAGAGATGTTACCGTTAGTCTACAGTTTGAGCGAAAAATTCAGATATACAAATCTTGATAATTTTATTGCTTTGACAATCTGGTTCCTTTTACCCACCATAACTGCGGTATTTAGGTAAGTATCTGACAAAATTTTGTGTGATTCCAAGGTCTATGTAAGCTATTTCTTATAAAATATTATTTTATAACTGCTTAGTGTTATACATACTTTAAAACTGTTTTTTAATATAAACTTCCATTTTTTTTAAATCTTTAGTTGGCCTTTGTTAATTTTACAAATATATATTAAACCCAGTTTTGGGTCTAACGCATAAAAATTCATTAAACTATCACGCAGAAGAATTCATATATTATATATTACAACAAAAACACCAAACTAAAAAGTAATAATACCAAAATTAACCCCTAACCCGAACACACATTAACCAAATCACAACACAAATAAATAATCCCAAAACGAGTATGTGCAAAAAACGTCACCCTGCCGCGTCGAGAGGCACCCCAGACAGCAACGCGCCACCAAAGCGCACAAAAAAACAAAGAAAAGTCACAGCAGAGGCCGCTTATCAGTCAACGAAAATCACATTATGCCAATAATAACAATAATATTAGCTAAATTGTTTTGACAAAAACGACAAAAAAGACGCAGAGATAGCTAAACAAACACACACAACTACATAAATAGAACAGTGTCTTCTGAAAATAATGAAAATATGAGCACACATAAATAATAAAATTGGCAATTTTTTATAATAACTGCAGTGGATTATTAAGCACTCTCTACTTTTGAGTTTTCTACAAATGTATATGTATGCGTAAAACTTTTTTCTCTAAATGACTAACACATTGTGTTGTTATTTATTTTTTTATTCGCTCTTTGATAAGAAAATAAACAATGTGTCTGCATAAAAAATGTTTTCGAAATAAATTTGAGCAAAAAGAAAAAAAAACGCAAAACAGTTCTGTGCTCACAACTACTCTCCTGGGGCTTGAACAGTGTGTGTCAGCTTTCTCTTCACACACATACATATTATGTAAAGTATGCGGTAATGCTAGGCTTTGACTTGGAAAAAAAATTACAACATATTTTCTGAATTGCCACAAAACACATTAAATTGAAGAAGAGAAATTGGCGATAAGGCACAAAATATCAAGAAATACCCATTAAGGAGATAATATTGATAGCACCAAAAAGTTTAAAAATAAAATTATTCTGTGGGCATAGATGTTATGTGAATATCACTGTTATAATAAAAAATGTTGGTTGTATTTACATACATGACATAATTTTGTTTTTCATAAATTTATAATATTTTTTTTTTGGCCATAACCTACCAACTCAAGTACAGCTGTACGATACTTGACAACTGGCGGTTAGTTAAGTCGGGGAAGAACGCTCAGAATAGATTTCGGAAAAGTGTTTAGCTGCTAGTACTAAAATTACTTACTTGTCCCCTAATCCCATGAATTACCCTAACTACAATGTGAAATAGCTTACACCCAAAGATGCTCAGTCTTTATCAATCGAGTTTCGTAGCACTTTAATGTCGACGTCAATAAGTTAGACCTTACTTTTCTTCATATACCTATTACTCCTATTCAGTTTTAATTTCTAACAACTGATTTGTCTAAAGACAAATTAGGATGCCTACTGGCTGTCACCAGCTTTATGTTCAAAATTAATTATTTTCAAACTATGAAAAGAGCTCTGGTAGCGCTTTTTGTTTAGCCAGGGTTAGAGGATATAAAAATCTATGAAACATATTTGTTAGAAGTTAATAAGGTGGTTCTCATAGTAAAATCACAAAATTCTATTAAACTTTTTTTGTATTATAGAGCCAATATAATATTTATAATGATTTTACTGCGAAGGCTCTTTGTTCACTAACAGTTTTCGATTGAAAAGTTTCTTTCATTGGTAGTGCATCCTCGGTGAGCAATTGAAATCTCAAGGGTTTCTTTATAACATGAAAACCTTCCCACAAACTCCATCAGCCGTTCGAAGACGACTTAAACTTTGGTGCATGCATCATTTATTGAATAAGCTAATTACATAAAAAATAAAAATACAAAAGATAGTAATTTTTGAACAATTATAAACTGATGGGCCTCATATATCCTCCAAGGTATCAACAAAAAATTTTCACAGCATTATTCTCTCAAGAAAAACGTGGCATAACTCTTTAAAGAGATTCCATAGTTTTGGAAGCAGCTGCTGTTTAATCACTTGGAATGTTAGTAATATAAGTGTTCATATTTGGGAGAGTCGTTTTCAGTATTTGGGGGAAAATCTTTTTTCCCCACTTAAAATAGAGTAAAATAAGAGTACTTTAATTAGCTATCGATAGATAAATAGATACCAAAACGTGTTTTATTGTAAATCCAATTTCTTCAGTATATCTCTATAACCTCTTCTTGGCGAGAACTTTAATGTAGTAAATTTAAAAACCGAATTCTTTCTGTTTTGCTTTGGAAATTTTAAAATATTTCTTTAGAATTCTAACATATACTTGACATTAGTTTGCTGATACCTGAAATCTACAAGATTTTTTCCCCAGACTTAGAGATCACCAATCTCAGAGGGATCCGAACAGCAGAAGTTGGTTATAATATTATTTCTTATTCCTGATAACATATCAATATGAATCGGAAAGTAGCAACAGAATACCACTTCAATTGAACTAAAATTAAAAAACTCCGAAAACTTTCTCACGACTTACCCTAAATTGACATTCAAACTAAAAATCGAAGCTAGACTATCAATTCCCGGATTTTTATATTTATTCTCAGCTATAAACTTCTCGTAGTTGGCCAACCCTTTGTGCTCAAAAGGCGTGTCTACATTTTTCAAGTTTTCTTCCACAATTTAAGGATATACAAATCGAACACAACAACACAATGCACACAATAAAAAATTGCCAACAAATTTACAACAATCAAAAATAACAAAATTTTGCAAACAATATTGATTTCAATTGGTGATTGAAAAAATCAAAACAGAAATTTTTTATACTCTATATTGAAAAGTAGCAAATGGTCGGTCGTAAGAAAGGCGACAAGGGTCGAGGGTAAGAAATTGTAAAGAAACCAGAGAGTTAGGGAATTAACTACGCTAGCAAATCAATGGCGTGGAAACAACATAAATAACTGCAAACATAAGTGTGTGTGTTGTAAAATGCATATGTGAAAATGCGTATATGTACTGTTATATGTCAAGTACATAAGCGCTGAAAGGATTATTGCGATTTTCCGCTGGAACGCGCGCGCTACAAATTTTAAAGTCGCTTAAAAGTAAAAACCATAAACATACTAACACTCACTTCTACATATGTGTCACATGTGAAAATTTTTAATTTATTAGCACATTACAAATAAAAACCGCCTAGCCATGGAAGGGTTCCCTTTGGGGCTAGGTTTATAATGGGTGAAGTGCAAAAGAAAATAATATTTTCTGAAATTAAAAGAAGTCATAAAAAACAATTTTCCACGCCACTACAAAGCGGAGCAGTGAGCGACCAAAATGTGGCACAAATGAGTGGCTAGCAGAAACAGCAGCAATAATGTTGTAATATATAATTTCACTTTTACACATACAGCTGCTTTCAGCGAATTGAGTACCACAGTATTGTCAAAAATTGGAACACAACTGCGATGAAGATAGTAAAAGCGTTAAGCAAATTTGACTTTGATTTTTACAAAAGACTCGCTGTATCAAACGTTTTTTTTCCATTAGTGATGCTCAGAGCATAGGGCTTTCGATTAGGTTTGAGGAATATTGTTCAATAACTTATTCCATAAGATCACTACCGCTTCATTTGTTTACAAAGCATAAAGAAGCAGCTACAAAATGATAGCAAAGTATATACAAACCATTTACATGTCCGACTTATTTTCTATCGGTATCGAAATAGCCGGAACACCAAAGAACAATTATTTTTACTACGTTTCGGAGCTAATAGATTTATTCATAAGCGCTATCTCTAATAATGTACCAGCTACTGTAGTTTGTAACAAAGCTCAGAAGCTTTATTTGTACATACGAACTTCCACAGACCGCCTAGGCGTATCGATGTCATTATCCAAACTAACGCGCCGTATCCTGGCGTTGCAGCATTACATATATTTGTACGTTTGTATGTAACACACAATCATGTATACATATGTAATTAGGTTTGCTGCTGTTGTTGGTGTTCTTGTTGCTGCTATTTAACTCGCTCACACATGTCAGCAAGCGAATTAATCGAAGAGAAATGATTTATTTACGCTTTGGCCAGTTATCGCTTCAATGCCTCATAAGCGCACTGAGCAAACGAACGCCCGCTCGGCTAATGCTGGAAAGGGTTAAATAGCATACAAACACAAAAACAACATACACATGCGTGTGTATTTGTGTACATGTAGTCCTTACTC